CCCGGACAATCGACGCTCCAGAACAGGCTTCCTCTTCCGCCTCGAGCCCAGCGGCCCCATCTCCTGGAACTCGCAGAAACAGGAGCTGGTTGCCCTGTCATCGGCGAAAGCTGAATTCATCGCAGCAACAGCAGCAGTTCGCGAGGGCCTCTACCTTCAGGAGCTGCTGCAGGAGGCGAAAATTCCAGCCTCGGCGAACTTTCGCCTGCACAGCGACAATCAGAGCGCGATCAGGATCGCGAACAAGCCCGGGTTCGTCAACCGCACTAAGCACATCGCGCTGCGGTACTTCTTCGTCAAGGACGAAGTTGACAAGGGCAAGGTTGACCTAACCTACTGCCCGACGGGTGACATGGCAGCTGACTTCCTCACGAAGAAGCTGTCACGTCAGCAGTACCAACACTGCTCCGAACTCAGCGGAGTAGTCAAGCGGGTCAAGACTCGCTGCGGCCAGGAGTGAAGGGGGGTGTTACGAATAGTAATTATTGAAACATCACTGTGCACTCCTCACCGCAGCAATCGAAGCACGCACTACCAAGGATGAAGGCGAAAGGACAGGAGTGACACGAAGGGTCGTACAGTTACGAAAGGATCTGGACCGTCGGGCAGACAGCATTAGGCAGCAGCAGTGGCGAGGATTCTGCCCAGACAGTTTCGAAACTGTCTGGAGTCGCACGGTTGGATTTCGCTGTAATAAGGGAATGTACCCCTTAGAGTACATGGCTAGCTAGGTCGATTTGTATTCCTTCCTGTACTCTTATTTATACCTCTGTACTTGCATGATTTAATTATCTCAAGCATTTTACATTCACTCTGCTATTGAGGTCAAGGGCCCACCACCACTACTCAGACGTGTGCGAACCTTCCTGAGGTGATCCTAGGCACGATCAACTTCTGATCGCAACAAGACGTATAGTTGCGCGCACCTCGCAAGTCCCTGGGACACGCACCGGGAGCCGAGCAGCACCCGCTCCAGGCATCTAGTAGTAGCTCACGTTCCAGGCGACGCGCAGCGCGCGCACCGAGTGACGAGCAGACCGCGTGACCGCGCGACTATTAGCGGTGGAGCCCGGGTGACGAGCAGCGCGCGCTGCTAGCGACGCGCAGCACACGCTCCTTTCCCCACCTGCTTCCCCTCCTTTCCCCACCTGCTTCCCCTCCTTTCTCCACCTGCTTCCCCTCCTTTCCACCCCTGCTTCCCCTCCTTTCCCCACCTTCTTCCCCTCCTTTCCGCCCCTGCTTCCCCTTCTTTCCGCCCCTGCTTCCCCTCCTTTCCGCCCCTGCTTCCCCTCCTTTCCCCACCTGCTTCCCCTCCTTTCCCCCCCTGCTTCCCCTCCTTTCCGCCCCTGCTTCCCCTCCTTTCCCCACTTGCTTCCCCTCCTTTCCCCCCCTGCTTCCCCTCCTTTCCCCCCCTGCTTCCCCTCCTTTCCCCCCCTGCTTCCCCTCCTTTCCCCCCCTGCTTCCCCTCCTTTCCTCCCCTGCTTCCCCTCCTTTCCCCCCCTGCTTCCCCTCCTTTCCCCCCCTGCTTCCCCTCCTTGCCCCCCCTGCTTCCCCTCCTTTCCCCCCCTGCTTCCCCTCTTTTCCGCCCCTGCTTCCCCTCCTTTCCCCACCTGCTTCCCCTCCTTTCCCCCCCTGCTTCCCCTCCTTTCCGCCCCTGCTTCCCCTCCTTTCCCCACCTGCTTCCCCTCCTTTCCCCCCCTGCTTCCCCTCCTTTCCCCCCCTGCTTCCCCTCCTTTCCCCCCCTGCTTCCCCTCCTTTCCCCCCCTGCTTCCCCTCCTTTCCCCCCCTGCTTCCCCTCCTTGCCCCCCCTGCTTCCCCTCCTTTCTGCCCCTGCTTCCCCTCCTTTCCGCCCTCTCCTTCCCCTAATTTCTCCCTCATTTCCTTCATTGTCCCCCGCTGCTTGCCCTGTTCCTCTCCACCCCCTTACGCCCCTCCCTTTCCTCTCCTCCCTCTTCCAATCTCCTCCATTCCCTCTCCTCCCTCTTCCAATCTCCTCCATTCCCTCTCCTCCCTCGTCCAATCTACTCCCTTCCCTTTCCTCCCTTCTCCATTCTCCTCATCTCTCTCTCCCCCCTCATCCAATCTCCTCCCTTCCCTCTCCCATCTTCCCTATCCCCCCAAATCCTTCTCTCCCTTTTTTTCCTCCTCCCCCTCTTCCTATCTCCTCCTTCTCCTCTTCCCCCTCTTCCGATCTCCTCCTACTTTCCCCCCTGCTATACTCTTGTCCACCCCCCCGCTAGCCCCTTGCTTCCCCCTTGTTAGCCCCCTATTCCCTCCCTGCTAGTGCCTTGTTCCCTCCCTCGTCCAATCTCCTCCCTTGCTCCCTTCCTCTCTTCCGCACCTCCTCCCTTCCTCTCTGTCCTGCCTTTCCTCCCTTTCTTCCCCTCGTTTCTGCTCCTGATTCCCCTCATTTCCGCCCCTGCTTCCCCTCATTTCCGCCCCTGCTTCCCCTCACTTCCACCCCTGCGTCCCCTCACCTCATTTCCCCCCTGCTGTTCATTATGGTCCCGCCTGGCTTACCCTTCCTTTCCCCCGTGCTAGCCTTCCTCCCCCCTGCTCACCCTTCCTAACCCTCCAGCTTACCCTCTGTTTCTCCTCTCCTTTCTGTTTTTTTTTCCCTCGGATAACATCTATTTGCTCTGTAACTTGCAATCCTTACATCTATAGATAAGCATTGTTACATGATGCAACTGGGCACAGCACTGAGGTATGCAAATTGTGCAATGTCGTGTACACATTTCAAGGTAAATGCGAGTGTTTTCTTCTGCTCTAGCTGTTCAGGGTTCGCTCAACACTTTCTTGAGCCTGCTGCTGCTCCCTTTACGCTGCCAAACTCCTCTGGGCCCAAACCAGGCCCTCAGATTGGTTTTGAGGCACGCTGATTCGTCAGTGTTGGTCCCTGGAAAAAAAAAATCGGTCAGAGTTGGGTCCAAAAAAAACCCTGAAAAATCTGTGTTAAGGTACAAAAAACAACTTTCTCTAGGTTTGATTTAAAATGAATGCCATTTATATAGGCTGAAACGGCCAGTCAATAGAATGTGGACCTCCGAATGGGACGGTTATGGGTTCAAGGGAAAATATGCCATTCGTAACCAACATGGGACTCGATAACATGTCTGGTAAAAAAAAAAGGGTACGGTCACTGCAGAGGGTGTTTTCACGCGACTGATAAAACGTTTCACGTAATCAGTCACTATAAACTGGTAAAAAAAAACGCGAATGGTCATAGATGAAACTCCCGCCAAAACAAATTGAAACCCAAAAAGAACCTGGATGCATTTTCGGATGAATCGACCCTAAACACGTAACTCGCCGGGTGTTTAGGGTTGATCCGTTTCCGATTGGGCTTTAGTTTTTTTAAGTTAGCAGATTGGTTCAGCGCGAGCGGGAATTTTGTTGAGTTTCAAGTTTTTTTGGCGGGAGTTACATGTGTGACCATTCGCGTGATTTTTTACCTGTTGTTACTTACTGAATCCGTGACCCCACTTACCAAACCCGTCAGAACACCCGATACAGTTACCATACGCGTTTTTTTTTTTACCATTCACGTTATCGAGTCATAAGTTGGTTACTTATGGCATATTATTCCTGGGTTCAATCCCGTGTGCTGGCGGGATGCCACGGAGTCACTGGTGATTTTTTCGGCAAATTCCAAAGAATTCGCGCATTTTCAGCAACAGGACTCGGTTCGTTAGTGTTGTTTCGAATCAGTGTTGGTACATGAAACTTGCCTGAAATTTCAGTGCTGGTACAAATAACTTGCCTGAAAAATCCGTCCTTACATGGAAAAAAACACTTTCCAATCAGCCTTAGGCCCCAAAAAAAACCCTGGAAAACAGTTTTCCAAGGGCAAAGCAGCGTTTTTTTCCTGACTTCTGAGGGCCTCCCAAACTAGTCCTGCTTGAAGTGGAAACAGGGGATTGCGAGGTCGATCGGACCTTACGAGCGACGCGACGTGCTGCGAACGGGCGCCCTCCGACGAGTAGCGTCAGCCAGGCGACGGGCAGGGAAACCGCGAGTGTGACGCGTGATTGTGAGTGTAAAACGGGCGAGTGTGACTCGTGCTAGTGTGACGCGAGCATGTGTGACGAGTGGTTGAGACTGTAACGCGTGGTTTGGAGGTCGACGAGGGGACGCGTGGCGACGTGGTGATGCACTCGTGACCTAGGAATGTGTAGATGCCGAAACGAAGCGAGGGCGTAGCGGGAAATGCGGATCTGTCGAGGGTATACGTTGGACATACCATGCTATGCTGGCTAACCGGGTGGCGCCACGGGCAAGGGAGGGAATCTAAGAATTGCCGACGTTTGTGCGTCGTGCGGAAGAACGGACGGTCCGTGTGGGTAATGCGAAAATGGTGCGATGATAGAGTGTTTGGCATGAGGCTTGAGCTGGCTAGCTACTAGCGAGACAGCATGAGTGACTAGCGTAGTAAGGAAAAACGCCTGATTAGAAACTCGCCCGCGGATCCTAGTTACGTGAGGAATCTAGAGTAGACTATGAGTACGACTTGGTTCTCAAGTTATGTGAGAGGTGAACAGCGTCACTGATGAGTGACGAGCAGTTCAGTTTTGCGATCGGGCACAAAAACCAATCAGAAGAGAGTGTCGCAAGAGGTTGTCCCGGGATCGCGATAGTTCTATCAAACCAAGTAGGGTTACCCTGTTTTTGGCGAGTTCAAGTTCAAGAATCTTGAACTTGAAAAAAAACCATGCTGTACTCGGGCTTTAACCCTGACATCTCCGATGCAGGTTCGCAATGTCGGGCGGGGCACCACCCAAAAGCACAGTATGGTATATGCATTTTCCTTACAAAGGAAATGCGCACCTCAGAGAGGGGGTGTAGAGGATGCTGGCAAACAACCTGTTCGGATCCTGAGGTGCATTGAACCTAGACTTATTGATGCAGGTGGGTTTTCAGAATTCTAATGCACCTACTGATGATGCATTGAACCTAGACGTGTTTCAAGTATATTACATCAGGACCCGCATCCGATTTGACTAAGCACGCGATCCGCATCCGCTATGCGGGTTGGTGTGCGTGTCAGCAGCAGGGGAAGAAGCGTGGGTTGGAAGGAAGCTGGTACTCTGTAACGGGCTGGAGGAGGGATTGGAGGAAAGGGAAAGGGCGTGGAAGAAGCATGGGGTGGATTGGATTGGGTTGGATTGGATTGGGTTGGATTGGATTGGGTTGGATTGGTTTGGGTTGGATGGAAGATGGTACTCTGTAACGGGCTGGAGGAGGGGTGGGAGGGAAGAGGGACGCATCTTTGGGGGAGAAGCACGTGGATTGGATTCCACTAACATGGGCTAAAAGCAAGAAGCCACAAACCATGTGAAGCAGAGAGAAGTTGCTTGTGCAGAGGGGGCAGAGGGGGCAGAGGGGGGAGAGGGGGGAGAGGGGGCAGAGGGGGGAGAGGGGGCAGAGGGGGCAGAGGGGGCAGAGGGGGGAGAGGGGGCAGAGGGGGCAGAGGGGGGAGAGGGGGCAGAGGGGGCAGAGGGGGCAGAGGGGGCAGAGGGGGCAGAGGGGGAGAGGGGGCAGAGGGAGAGGGGGCAGAGGGGGCAGAGGGGGCAGAGGGGGCAGAGGGGGCAGAGGGGGCAGAGGGGGGAGAGGGGGCAGAGGGGGCAGAGGGGGCAGAGGGGGGAGAGGGGGCAGAGGGGGGAGAGGGGGGAGAGGGGGAAGAGGGGGGAGAGGGGGGAGAGGGGGGAGAGGGGGGAGAGGCCTCAGATGAAGCACAGTAAGCGAGGCTCACCTTAAGGTTGTCGGAAGTAGGAGCAGAGAGAGGGAAGACCACCCGCACATCCCCACACAGGAACAGGCGAGTTCTCCGCTCCCTACCGCCCTCACGCCTGTGTCTACGAGACTCCTTCAAACCCTCCCCTTGCCCCTCCCGTTGCCCCACCGCTTGACCCTCCCCTTGCCTCACTCTCTCATCGACTCCATTATTCCTCTCCTGTCCTTCCCTTGCCTCTTTCCCGCCCATACTCTCTGCACCAGCATCACCAGCACCACCAGCATCACCAACACCACCACCAACATCACCACCACTAGCAGCAGCAGCAGCAGCAGCAGCAGCAGCAGCAGCAGCAGCAGCAGCAGCAGCAGCAGCAGCAGCAGCAGCAGCAGCAGCAGCAGCAGCAGCAGCAGCAGCAGCAGCAGCAGCAGCAGGAGAAGCGGGATCATCAGCAGCAGGAGACGAAGCAGCAGCAGCAGCAGCAGCAGCAGAGCTGCGAGGCTTGGGCAAGCACTGGAACTGCAGGTGAATCACCGTTCTCACTGCACCAGGTTGCACCTCCTCTTGCTGCTCCTGTGCGTTTCCTTGGATCGTTTGCTGCTGCTGCGAAGGAGGAGGAATTTGAAGACCTGAGCAGCCCGAAGCTTCCTGGAAGGACGCGGCAGTCGGCTGCTTTGGTGCAAGCAGCGTTCTCTGGCGAATGAAGGTCTGTCCAAGTGGGGAGGGGGGGAGAGGGGTGGTCGAGGGGAAGGGGTGGGAGATGAGGAAGAGGCAGAAGAGGAGAGAAGGGACGGTACACAGCAGCGTGCTTGGGTGCAAGCAGCTTTCTCTGACGAATGAAGATCTGACCAGATGGGGAGGAGAGGACGAGTGATGGAGAGGGGAGAAGAGGAGAGGGGAAAGACGCTTTTAGGAACTAGAGGAATGAATCTACAGGAAGACTTCCTGGAAATATCAGCTTGGCATGAACAAACGCTTTTCTTGAAAAACGAGGGACTGCACAGATGGGAGGAGCAAGGGAGGAACCTACACCTCATCTCTCACTTCCCATCTCTCACCTCCCACCTCTCACATCTGTCTCACTTTCAAAGCTTAAGTTACAACTTCAGAGCATATATAGACTCACCTCTCACCTCTCACCTTGGAGTTGGGAGGGATGTGAGAGAGGTCGTAGGAGCATGAGAAGGTGTGGACGGGGGAGTGTAACATGCACCATCCACACATAGACTCATGTCTCATATCGCACAGCACACCCACCTTGGAGTTGGGGGGCATATCAGAGAGGTCGTAGGAGCAGGAGAAGGTGTGGATGGGGGTGCCCTCTGGGTTCGACAGCAGCAGCTGAATGCGCCCTTTCGTGGGCACCCGCACCCTCTGCTGCCGCTGCTGCTGCTTGTGCCCATCCGTTTCTGCTTTTCGAGAGTTCCCCAACACGTTCATTTCTACCCGATCATCATCTGCTGCGGCTGCTGCTGCCGCTTCTGCTCCCGTTCCCTCTCCCACTCCAAACAGCAGCTCCCTGCGGGCTTCCTTGCGCCTACCAACCTCCTTTCTGTCCACTGGAATACGCGCAGTGCAACTGCTGGCACCGGGAGCAGCAGCAGTACCTGGAGCATCAGTGCTGCCGGGTGCTGCCGCTTCTGCTCCCGTTCCCTCTCCTACTCCAAACAGCAGCTCCCTGCGAGTTTCCTTGCGCCTACCCGCGACCCTTCTGTCAACTGGAATAGGCGCACTGCACCCATCAGAACCGAGGCTGTCGCCACTGGGAGCATCACGATGTGCAAAGTCAGCCAGCTTGCTCGTGCTTGGTTGCTCCCGCCCCACCACTGCTCCCCTCCCTTTGCCTCCACTCTCCCCCTCCCCCTGCCGTCCCCCAACCGCAATGCTGGCAGCATAGAGCTGAGACGGCGAGGAGGGGAGGAAGGCTGCTGAGAAGGTGGTTCTGACAGGGTCTGCGGTCCACTCGCCTTGCTGCGACAGCACGGCTAGCATGGCCTTGAACCCGCTGATGTACTGCCATGAGGGGAGGGATAGAGGGATAAGAACGCAGACAATCTCTTCTCTTTCCGCCTTTCCCCATACCTGATAACGTCTTGTCGTGTGGCAAACAGTATTATAAAGGCAAGAAACATAAAAAAACAAACAAACAAACAAACAAATCAAACCCATACCTCTTCCCCCATTCCCCCCCTTTCCCCTCACCTTCTCCCCTCCCCGCATACATTACAGGCTTCCCTCACCTTTACCCCACTGCCCTCCTCCTGCCCACTAGTAGCCTGCCACATCAGCGACTCTTCGAACGAACCAACCAGCGACCGTTTCAGCAGCGATTTCCGCTCGTGACTCCTCTCTCCACTGCAAGCTGACGTGGCATCAGCTGACGTGCCAACCCTGGAAGTGAGCCAGCGATGGAAAAAGAGGTCGTTGACCGTCGGCGCTGATGCTGACGTGGAGTTGACGCGGCAGCTGCTGAGGTGGCGTTCGTAGGGAGTGGCTGGGAAAGGAGCTGGCACGGCCGAACCAGAAAACGACATATTACCTATGGAACATCCCGGACGAATCTGTGCCGTAGATACTGCAGGCACCAAGGTATCGATCCGACAGTTCTGAACACTATGATTGGAAATCGAAGGACCACAATCGCTCACAGCACTAAAACGCGGATTTCTCCTAATACTCGAGCTGACGTGGAATGGTGTGCTACTAACGAGGGGAGAGCTGTGAAAAGACGATGACAGCTCCTCACTATGGTCACATGCAGTGCTGGATTCAAGTGGACTGTAGCAGTGGTGCTTGTAACGAGTGTTCCACAGCTCAGCAGCTGCTGCCAGGTCAGCACCTGTCCCGGGCAGCAACGGCTGCAGAGCAGCAGACAATCCGCCACGATTGGCGCTGGTGCTTGGCTTTTTCGGGGCAGCAGCAGCCGGTGAAGCTGCAGTGGCAGCAGTGGCAGCTGCAGGGGAAGCAGGGAAAGGTGAAGCAGCAGGAAATGGAGGGGATTGACCTCCTGCTGACGAAGGTCGAAAGCGAGAAGGACGGGGAGACGGGTTTCCGCAGGCAACGGAAAGGCTCGTGCACGAAAGGGGGGGGGGCGACGCCGTGGGCCCGGAGTGGCGGAAACTACTCGCGGAGAAGGAGGATGGGGAAAGGGAATTTGGCGGAAGGGGAGATGGGGGGAGAAAAGACGGGTTGAGTGGCGAAGGGGAGAGGGGGGGTTGGGAGAGGCGGGATGGAGAGTGGGGAAAGAACAAGAGGGGGGATGGGGAGGGGGGAGTGGTAGCTTGCTCCTTCACCTCCTTCTCCTCCCCTTCCGCTTCCCCCTCATCGTCATGCCCCTCCTTCGCCTCCTCGTCTTTCTCCTCCCACCCCTCCTCTTCCGCTTCCCTCCCTTCCGTGGCGTGCATGTGCTCGCCTCGCTGCCCGGCGTGCGACGTCGCCGAATCTCGCAAGCCCATGTGCGACACATGCGACACATGCGACAAGTGCTCCTCCTCGTGCTCGTGCTGCTCTCCTGCTTGCGACGGTCGCACCTGATGCGACAACCGCAGCGACTGCCACGTCGGATGAGCGACGCGCGACGGCGGCCCCGTGTAAGGAGCCGCTCCAGAAACCGCCGCTGAACGCGGCGGAAAGCGCGCCGTAACTGCCGGCTGAGGCCCGTTCGCAACCAGAAAATCCCTCGAACTGTCCGCTTGCCATTCCCTTGGTTTCTGTGACTGCAAGACCGCTTTCTGTGACTGCAAGACCGGTTTCCGTGACTGCAAGTCTTTTAGCCTCTGCGCCTGCACTTGCTTCGCATTCGAGATCGCTTGCGACGACAGGCTCGCAGCACGGCAGTCGCCATCACAGGCATCCGACTCGGCGACGGCTGGCGATGTCGCAGGAAGGCCGTCGCACGGCGACGAGTGGTCGGCGATGCGGGAGAGGTGGTTACCAGCAGGAACTCGCACGGGGCTCTTCGCAGACTCGGGAATAGTCCTTCCCATGGCGTGGCCGAAGGTTAAAATAAAAAGAGTCAGAAAGTTGGTGCAAAAGTTGGTGTCTATACCAGCTTTATTTACCACCTTGGCCTGCAGACCAGCTGCTATATGAGCCGTGCACCGCACTGAATCGGAGCAACTGATTTTAACGAGTATATTTGAAGGGAACTCCAAGACGGCGCTGCTCGATATCCGTATCGCAAGGACTCAGCATACGCTTCAGATAAGATCAACGGTGTGCTATACTGTTCGCCATTCTCGCTGTTAGCTGTGAGTTACCTTGCAGAGGAGTGAGAGGATAAAGATAGGGAGACCAGGATAAATGTTAAGGGGGGATTTACTGTTCCCTTTGAACAGTACTTTCCAACTCACCCTTATCCTTATCTTCCTTGATTTCCTTGTGCCACGTGGCACTCTACTTTTCTTGCTTCTACTTTCTAGTCCCACGAAGTACTTTCCATCATTCGATCTTGCATGCCATATCAACCTTGCTTGTATTCCCCAATAGCAACCAATTCTCATTCAACTCTCCAATTACTCAGTAACATCTTCGCATATTTCGCCAATAGTTCTTTCGCCAAAGTCTTCCGCCGCGCTTCATCCTCGACTTAGTCGACCCCGCTAATCTTTAGCGGATTTAGGCCAAGGGGCCTAACACTTGGTATCTGTCAGAATGTTATCTTATGCTCTAGCCTGTAGTGGGGTGCTCTATAGCGAGTACAACCCTTCTAGGGTTTGCTATTTGTATCCCCATTCTTGCTAGTGCAACCCTCTTCTCTTCTTTCTTCTAAACTTTAACAGTATCAAGAGCCTTCGATGGGAGCGACTTCCAACGAGCGACCGTCGACGACGAGACTACGACGTCATCGTCCCGCGGTGCCGATTTGCTGACTTGGAGTCGTCGAGCCGACATGGATGAAACCATGACCGCTGTCCCCAACGACATGGGCAACACGCTTGCTCAACTCATGCGCCAACTCGAAACGTTGACGCTGGAAAATCGTCAGGTACGCGTCAATTTCTCATGGTCATGCCGCACCATCTCCTGCACCCAATACGTCGACTGGCGCGGAAGCGCTGCCGGAACGTCGAAGCGCGCTCAAGCCGCAGAAGCCCGAGCCGTTCGACCCAAGTCAACGCGACGCGAACGTGCGGACGTGGATCTTCATGCTGAACAACTACTTCTCCGCAAGCGGGGTGCAAGAGGCGGACGCGCAGCAGCGGATCGAGTACTCCGTTACGCTGCTGAGGGGCCCGGCCTTGGAGTGGTGGCGCCAACTCACGCAAACTGCTGTAAGAAGGGCTCATTTGGACGGGCATCAACAGGGTGAGGGGCATGCAGCTGCAACTTCGAGCTTAGGGAGTTTAGTTTTGGGTGTTACCACGGTTCCGACGACATGGGAAGGATTTGAAGCGGCGCTGAAAAGTAGGTTCGACTTGGTGAATGCCTCCGAAGCTGCTAGGAAGCGTCTGCGCCATTTCCGACAGATAGGAAACGTCCAGGAGTACACACGACGGTTCTTCAGCATCTGCAATGAGATAGACGATATCACGGAAGCAGAGATGCGCGATCGCTACATCGAAGGGTTGAAGCCGGACATAGCGCAGATCATAGCGATTCACGGATTGTCCACCTTCGAGTCGGTAGTCGCAGCAGCAGAACGCGTCGACGCAGTACGAAGCCGACGGGGTCGTGACGATCGCGATAGGGAATACAAACTGATCACCGACACTCGATCGAGGGACGGACCATCGCCCATGGAGATTGGTGCAGTTAACAGTGACGGCTCACAGAAAACGGGATTTAGGGGGAACTGTCACTACTGCAAAAAGCCGGGACACATGAAGAGGGACTGCCCACAGCTTAAGGAGCGGCAGCAGGGAAACGGAAACCGCCAGTAGATAGCGGGTCGCTAGCTGGTGTGGACGCTTCCGAACCCGCCACGTCTACCAACGTAGAGGAGACGGCCTTAGAGCAGTCATCTACGCCGAACGAGGTAGACACTGTTGATCGTCCAGTCGTGCTTCTACGGAAGTTTCGCGGTGTTCCAGTCAAGATTCTCATCGATAGCGGAGCTAGCCACTCGTTCGTTTCGTCTTCATTAGTTAGTCGTCTCCATCTCGAGGCAGATTCGGCAGTCAACTTCAAGGACGCTCGCATGGTAGATGGGACGCCTCTCCACATAGGACCTGTCATCCGCAAGTTGCGCGTAGTGCTAGGACCAATCACGGTTAGGCGTGACTTCGACTCTACGACGCTGGACGGTTATGACTTCATCTTCGGTAGGGATTGGCTACGGACGGTTAGTACTCAGTTCGATTGGGCTCAGGGAAGCTGCAGCGTCAAGGTAGACGGGGAGTTCCGGGAGCTGCCACAGTGGAGTGATGGGGCCACATCATCTACAGCTATCATCAATGCTGTTCGTGTGCGGCAGCTGGTGAAGTGTGCGGCACGGATCTTCGCGGTTTTCCTTGAGGAGGTGGAAGCTGAGGAGGGGAAAGGAGGGAGTGCAGCAGTTGGTGAGAAGGCGACTCTTCCTGCTGAGGTGAGTGCACTGTTAGCAGAGTTCGCAGACGTCTTCCTCGACGAGTTGCCCCCAGGGTTGCCTCCCAGCCGAGCAGTAGACCATCGGATAGAGTTGGAGCCGGGAAGCAGACCAGTAGCGAAGCCGCAGTGGAGGTTGAGTCCAGCAGAGACAGAGGAGATGACGCAACAGGTTAGGCACTTTCTAGCGCAGGGTTTCATACAGCCATCTAGATCGCCTTGGGCAGCACCGATCCTTTTCGCGCCTAAGAAAGACGGAGGGTTACGGATGTGCATAGATTACCGCGCATTGAACGCCGCCACCGTCAAGAACAGATTTCCAGTACCGAGAGTAGAGGATCTTTTGGATGCAGTGCAGGGCGCTAGAGTTTTCTCCAAGATCGACCTTCGTTCAGGATATCACCAGATTCGAGTAGTTCCGGAGGATCAGGACAAGACGGCGTTTCGTACGAAGCTGGGGTTGTACGAGTTTGGGGTTCTACCGTTCGGCTTGACCAACGCCCCAGCAACATTTCAGACACTCATGAGCACCGTCCTCTCCGAGTTCCTAGGTTCGTTCGTCGTAGTTTACCTATACGACATCCTCATCTTCTCCAAGACGAAAGAGGAGCACGTGCAACACTTGCAGAAAGTTTTCGAGGTCTTGCGGAAGGAGCAGTTGTACGCTAAGCAGTCGAAGTGCGAGTTCTTCCTCCCCGAAGTCGAGTTTCTAGGTCACGTCGTATCCGCTAGTGGCATTAGGACCGACCTGAAGAAGATCGCAGCAGTACAGGATTGGGTAGCTCCGACCTCAGTCAAGGAATTGCAGAGCTTTCTCGGATTCGCGAATTACTACCGTCGTTTCGTTCAGGGTTACGCATCGATCGCTAGTCCACTCACCGACCTACTTCGGAAGGGCGTAGATTTCGATTGGGGTCCAACGCAGCAGCAGGCGTTCGAGCAGATGAAGCAGTCGCTCACGTCTTCACCGACACTGTCGTACCCTGATCCCACTCGCCCGTATGTTGTAGTGACCGACGCATCAGATCGGGCCATTGGAGCAGTGCTTCTTCAGGACCAGGGCCGCGGGTTGCAGCTGATAGCATACGAGTCGCGTAAGCTTAGGGGAGCAGAGCTGAACTATCCCATTCACGACAAGGAGGTGCTCGCGATCATCCATGCGTATAAGGTTTGGAGGTGCTACCTAGAGGGGGCAGATAGTGTGATACGCACGGACCATTGCTCGCTTCGCTTTCTCAAGTCGCAGCCGCAGCTGAGTCGTCGCCAGGCTAGATGGATAGAGTTCATGGAGGGGAGTTTCCACTACAGGATAGAGTACAAGCCAGGCGTTCGCAACCCAGCAGATCCACTCACTCGCCCTAGTTGCCAGCTCGCTAGTCTCACAGTCACTGCCGGCCATCCACTCCTCACAGCACTCTTCGAGCACGGTTACACAGTAAATCCCGACTTCACACCACAACCGCCTGCAGGAGCAGAGGTGCAGGGTAGTGTCTACATACGGAAGGGTACCACACGGATTTGGGTTCCAGCCTACCGCCCTCTTCGACAGCTTCTTCTTTCCGAGGCGCACGATGTAGTTAGCGCGGGTCACTTCGGAGCAGATAAGACGGCTAAGACGCTTAGTCGCACGTACTTCTGGCCAGGGCTTGCAGCAGACGTAGAGGATTACATTCGCTCGTGCGACACATGTCAGCGTACGAAGTCCTCTCGCCAGCGCAAGGCGGGACTTTTGCAGCCGATTCCACCACCCGACCGCCCTTGGCAGGTAGTTACGATGGACTTCATCATGGCTTTACCGCGCACAGTTAGGGGTCACGACGCCATCTTCGTGGTAGTGGATAAGTTTTCTCGAGCAGCACACTTCATCCCCACGCACGGCAAGGTCACAGCAGAGGAAGCCGCGACGCTGTTCGTATATAACGTAGTCCGACTGCACAAGGTTCCAGATTCCATCATTTCCGACCGCGACCCTCGTTTCACTTCGAAGTTCTGGAAGCAGCTTTTCGCACTGTTTGGGACTCGCTTAGCCATGTCGTCTGCGTACCATCCAGAGACCGACGGACAGACCGAGCGTGTGAACCAGACCTTGGAGCAGATTCTTCGCAGCATCACGATGCACGACGCAGCCGCATGGGACAAGAAGCTGAGCATGGCCGAGTTCGCCTACAACAACACGCACCACTCGTCCACAAGCATGTCACCGTTCTTCGCACTGCACGGTCAGCACCCCAATGTCCCCACTCGTGTCGATCTTACACCCACAGTCCCTCGTGCGGACAACTTCCACCAGCATCTCACCTTCATTCATGATCACGTGAGGAAGCACCTTGAGCTCGAAAATGCACGCATGGCACGCACCACCAACCGCAGTCGTCGTGAGGTGTCGTTTGCAGTCGGCGACCGTGTTCTTTTGGATAGCCGCAACCTCCGACTGCAATAGGACAGCAAGCTTCGCCCTCGTTTCATTGGTCAATTCGTCATTGAGCGCGCACTAGGTCCAGTCGCATACCGCCTCCGCCTTCCCGCTCATTTCCGCATGCACCCGTCATTCCACGTGTCTCTTCTTCGGCCTTACACCGATCCCAACACCGCATTCTCGGGCCGTGATCGCAATCCACTGCCGGTAGCTGTTGACACCGACGAGCCCGACTACCAGATCCAGCGCATCCTCGGGCACCGTCGCCGTCTCCAGGGGGGTATCTCTTTCATCGACTTCTTGGTTCGTTGGCGTGGTTACGACGCAGCAGACGACAGCTGGGTTCCTTCGTCCTCACTGTCTCCTGACAACGCTTACCTCCAAGCATACCTTCAGTCTGCAGGCGCCGCGGACATCGCCTCCTTGGGAGGGGGGTAGTGTTAAGGGGGGATTTACTGTTCCCTTTGAACAGTGCTTTCCAACTCACCCTTATCCTTATCTTCCTTGATTTCCTGTGCCACGTGGCACTCTACTTTTCTTGCTTCTACTTTCTAGTCCCACGAAGTACTTTCCATCATTCGATCTTGCATGCCATATCAACCTTGCTTGTATTCCCCAATAGCAACCAATTCTCATTCAACTCTTCAATTACTCAGTAACATCTTCGCCTATTTCGCCAATAGTTCTTTCGCCAAAGTCTTCCGCCGCGCTTCATCCTCGACTTAGTCGACCCCGCTAATATTTAGCGGATTTAGGCCAAGGGGCCTAACAATAAAGATGGTCGGACCAGTATTACACCAAGTTATGCACATGAAGCCATGGGATGGGCTGGGATGAGCTGCCATGGATATGGAGAGGAGTGGTGAAATGAATGTGGAGCCATGGAATGGAACAGAGAATGTGATGGCTTTGATGCGATTGGACGAGATGAGGATTCCTTTTGTTATCCGTGGCCGCTTTATGCATGGCAACTGCTGAATGTCGGCCAACTGGCTCGACGATTTTTTGCGATCACGGAACGAGACGCAGCAAGTTTCGTAAATGGTAACCTGGAGCCGGCTGGCTCTGCGAAAGCTCGCCTGAGTCGTCGCCAACTGAGTGGGATATGTGCTGTCACACCGGCGGCGACGAATGAGGTGAATTTTTTCTTCTCTGGCCTGATTGTGATTAGTTGGCTGACGCAGATGCAAGTAACCACACACCGGATGCGAGAGACTCGCTAGCTCTGCGACATTATCAACGAAAGTTTGATGTGAGGGCGATTGGATTGCGCTCTTGCCAAGCTGGACATTCGGAGTGCCACAATTGGTGACAGGCGATTCACAATTGGCGTCCACGATGATTCTCGATATGCACTTCTTCGTCACAATGTGCATAACAGAGCGCAAGCTGCAACTACCTGCGAATTCCTCTTACCGTATGATTCTAGACTTAACACATATATTTATTCCACCACTTGATTGAAAGTTCAGGGTAATCTCTTGACAAGCCAGCATTTCCATCCATTTTGAAACAAAAGAAAAGCTGCTGTTAACAGCTGGCACTTCACTCAAATGCGAGGTACACCAATGGAAACGATAGGCTAATGCACAGAGCTAGTCAAGAAAATGCACCATCCCAGGGCCCCACAGAGAAACTAGGGTTTACGTGTTGGTGGCACGGGTGTAGATGGACTGTGTGGCGTGCGTGGACACAACACGGATGCTGCCTCGAGACAACAGGTCCTTGATTGCCCGCCGAGCCAAGGAGCCGTTGATCTGGATGGGGCGCAAGGGATGTAGGAACATTAATGTGATGAGTATACCGCAACAATTAAGGAATAAGGCACTCAAATCGTTTTGTGCTCTAGCTAAATGATGTTTCTCGGGAAAAATAGAGGAGCCCGGAGAGAAAGAAAAGCGTAAAAAAACATCAGGGTAAGTGCTGTTCAGCGCGCATTAAATGCCCTATATCTACGAGCCAAACCGTCCTAAGCTGGTCTCTACATATAGGAAGAACAGGCGATGGGAACAAAGCGTCAGAATGCGAAAAGTGATGATGAATCATGGTTGTGCAAGCAAGCCAGCTACTAACGCGCAACCGATGGCAGAACAAACACATTATTTTCGTTTCTCAAATGGTTACAGGAAAGAAATACTCACGCGCAGGCGGTCGCAGAGCACGGAGGAGGTGATGAGCTTCGTCTTGGGGATTTCAGTAAGCATCTTGTCGTACGTGGCCTGGTCGAACAGCACCATGTTGTTCACCTTCTCCTTCTGCTTTCCCTTGCTCCACTTCTGCTCACGGGAGGGACAAACACGTGGAGATAAATCAGTCAGATGAGATGACTCGGAACCGTGTTCTCCACCCTCCGCTTTCCCTTGCTCCGCTTCTGCTCAGGGACGAAGCAAACAGTCTCGGCAAGCACTGCCAAACGATGCTACGCAATGCAAAGCATTGCGAAGCAAGAGTCGTGAGCTGTTAGAAACGCCATAGGAATCTCCTTCGTCCCCTAAGCAAAGACAAACAGGCGGATCGGGCTTAGACCGGCAAGAAGCGGAGAGACAACATAACCTAAACGGTCCCTGAACTGTCTTAAACAAAGTAAGTGACTGTGCGGCACACACTCCACCATTCGGAACCAGGTAGGCGATACTGCTGCTAGAAGCTAGGGAACCGCGAGAGACTGCTCCAAAACTACGCGATCCTCTGCGGCTACATGGTGGAGTCCCTTCGAAACCCTAATTTCAAAAAGACCGCATCTCTGCGAATTCAGCTTCCCGGAACACACTAACGTCTTCATCCCTTGCACCAGCTTCGCATACTGGCCGGACATAAGCTTAACGCCAAAAACTGGGCATGGCATATCGAACGTGACGTCACCCGCGACCCATGTGATCTGATCAAAATTGTCAGGACATGGTGCAACCCGTCGTAACCCTCGCTACAACGCTTTGCATGATCATGGAGTGGGTACGGCAAGGTAGCAAGAGGAAGGCAGGAGTACAGCAAGCGGAAAAGGCGAAGAGAACGAAGAGACGGGGAAGGATGTGACGCGTTAAAATTCGTGAAATTCGACTGTGGATAACCCGGAGAGGAACAGATTTCGTGGCACGGGCACGGAACGTGTAACAAAACGAACCTTTTTCTTCTGCTTGCCGCCTCCGGATTTGGCGGGCTTGGCTTGAGCCTTATCGGCCTTTGCGTCCTTCTTTGGAGCCTGATGACGGAGAGGAGTACGGGGAGGTGATGAAACGGGGATAGCGGCGGGAGAGGGCGGACAAGGGGAGAAGAGCATGGAAGGCTCAGAAAAGAACAATTCATTTTCGCTACGAACGGATGACTCGACTCAGTCTGTACTTCAACACTGAATAACGGTGAAACGACGATAGGCGTTAGCTAGGATGAGCTGGGACTAATCGGCTATACGTCAGAAATAAGCGCGCAAAGCTCGCAACGTGATAGCTTGCAGTGGAAGAAACACGCGGCGCGGATTAGTAAGACTACCAAGGGTGAAGCGTTTAGGGAGGCGTACCATGGTGGGAGAAAAAGAGAGACAGATTAGGAGGTGCGGAGGAAAAAGAGGTAGCGATGGAGGGAGGCGAAGGAGATGGAGGAAGAGGGGGGGGGGAGGGCGCTGGCGCAAAATGGAAATGCGCGCAAGCGGAAGGGGGAGCGACAGGGAACAGTGCAAGTGCAGTTTCAAGTTTGCCTCAACAAAAAGCGGGAGCAAAACGGGATTCTGGTCTTCGTGAAAAACCCTTTCTCGAAAGAGAATCTTCTTATGGATCGTGTAGTAAGAAACTTATCCAATATCTAATACGTTTATTAATACGCATAGCGAAAGTAGCTAAATCAGGAAAGTCTCGTTTGTGTTCTGCCTGCAGAGCCGCATGCATCACGTCACCGACCCAACGCCCGTCAGCAGGTTCCCTTCCCATGACGTGGCAAAGCATCTACACTCTCCGGCGGCCTTTTTGGGTTTGTGATTATGACGTGGCGCCAGGTGCAGGCGGCTGAACGAGCACATTTTCCGAGCCTCCGCGCAACGAACCACAAAGCGAACTGCAGTACCTCAGCCTCAGGTCAGCTTGAGCCTGTAGCCTTGAAAATCGTCTAGCCGAACCAGAAACAGGTTCTCGATGAAGGTGTTGGCAGGTTCGGTTCGGGAAGCTCTATGCCTTGGTTTTCCCGCCTGATTCCTCCAGGTATGTCGTCAGCATGCTTTCTTTTTGCTTCACTTTTTCCCACCCACATGAAGGTCACAGGAAAGGTTTGATGGTGCTTCCTCATTTGCTTTCTTGTTTTCCGTTCTTACAGGTCTCTGATACTAGTTTCTTTCATGCAGGAACAGCATTTCCCTGTCTAATAGGGTCGTTCGTATTCCCAGAATTCCTAGGGATCACCGTTTCGGGCCTTTGACGTTCCCCTAGTGACCTGTCTTACTCATCTACGCTGCTCGACTAGGTATTGACTTGACACAGCCCACGCGTATGCACCGAGTTACTCGCGAGGATTTTTCACCGAAACGAGAGTAGCGGCTGAAGATAACAGTAATTTCAAAAGGCGTGATCAGCAAGACAAGCCATGGAGTTGTGTGGATCGATAGCTCGGCCTCCTGCGGGGAGCTCATTGTAAGGGATATCTGTAGCAATGATCTCCTTTAGGCCTTAGTACGATGATTACTCCAGTGTGAGAGGGCTGATCGCTAGATTTTAGAGAATCATTATTTGTTGGCCTCATCCTACATTAGACTCTCGGACGCTCCTTTTCTCATTTCTCATACGTGTGTCTGGTTGCATGTTTGCGAACACCTTTTTAGACAAGCATTTATTATAACGATCCTCGCTATGGTTCCGGGATCTATTATTTTGCCTGAAGCTCACCAGCCTCACCGCGCCTTATCGCGATCCTCGCTATGGTTCCGGGATCTATTATTTTGCCTTATAGCAATGCAGCCAAGTATCCGTTTCTTCTCTTCCATGAACTTCTGTCGACTCTGTCCTTCATTTTTCCGTCACACCCTACCCAAACAGAGACCAAATTATTGGCCCCGGAAACATCGCAGAGCGACGAGGGTCCAGAATTTCATCGTCACAGCGCTCTAGCAGAACCCCTATCTGTAGCCGTGCTCCGATCTGCCATCAGAGAGCTGTGCGGAACGTTGGGGTCTCTAGCACCAATCTGAACAGCAGCAGCGTACTAGACAATCAGCGACGCGGTTTCTGGGGACAGCAGTTACAGCAGCAGCAAGCAGTAGCACCAGGGAGGGGCCGAAGGAGAGATGCGGGGAGAAGGGGAGGATTGGAACGAGAAGACGCGCATAGGAGGAGTCGGCTGTGTTGCTCTGCAGCTTCGTCTGGAGATGAGGAAGCTTCCGTTCCAGGGAACGGCGCAGCCAGCAGTCTTGAAATGCCAAGGTCTGTTTTTTTTCTGTGTACGGTGTAACGGACTTCGAACAACCTTCATGGCCTCGTTCGGCCGCTGTTGAACAATAAAATGGGGTAAACACGAGAAGAGGAAGGAAAGTGCTAGCCATGTGTGTTGGGGAAGCATGGGGCAGCATGATCTGCATGATCTAATGAATGTGAGAAACCGATGACACCATTACAACCGTCGGAAAGGTGATCGTGATTCCAGGAATGTGAGAACCGTGAACGGCAAAAATGGGGGTGGTGGTCTACAAATCGAAAGCTCGCGAATACGGCTTTCGTTCACGTCTCCTAAATGCTCCCCGTACAGCCCTTCGGTTCTGCATGAGCTTGGGGGAGATGGAATGGAACTGCTGTCAGAAGTCTTTCTGGGATAAAAAAGAGGAAAGAGAACAATTACTGTGTTGGAATGAGCGAGGGGGGGGGGGGGGGGGGAGGGGAGGGCGAGGGTGGGGGTGGTATGGAACAGATACCAGTAGTCTCTGTTTGAACGACCTTCCGCTCCCAATCTCCTTTCTTGCACTCATGCATCTCCCCATGGCAGCATGAGCAAGGTCAAGATGGAGGTCCTCTCTGATTCGGACTCGGATCGAGTTCGCCCTTCCACCCTCTTCGCACCCATTTCTGCCCCCTTCCCCACCCCTCATGCCTTCACTCACCTCACCCTCCATCGCATCGCAGCATGAGCACGGTCGAGATGGAGGTGCTCTCTGCCGTCCCCTCTGCGCCTCTTCGCGCGCAAGCCTGCGCTCACTTACTCCCCCCCCCCTCCCTTCCATCGCATGGCAGCATGAGCACGGTCGAGATGGAGGTGCTCTCTGCCGTCCCCTCTGCGCCTCTTCGCGCGCAAGCCTGCGCTCACTTACTCCCCCCCCCTCCCTTCCATCGCATGGCAGCATGAGCACGGTGGAGATGGAGGTGCTCTCTGACGTCCCCTGCGCCTCTTCGCGCGCAAGCCTGCACCCCTCATGCGCTCACTTCCCGCCCCCACCCCACATCCCCACCCCTTCCTTCCTCCCCCCACCCATGGCAGCATGAGCACGGTGGAGATGGAGGTCCGTTCTGATTCCGACTCGGATTGAAGTACGCTTTCCCTTTCCCCTCGCTCCTATGTCTGCTCCCCTCCTCTCCTCATGTGCCCATTCTCCTCCTTACCCACCTTTCCCCATCGCATGGCAGCATGAGCACGGTCGAGATGGAGGTGCTCTCTGATTCGGACTCGGAAGAGTTCTTCGCCAGCGAGGCAGACGACGATCCTGACCGTCCATCTCGAGGGCTCAACTCCATCTCCGAAGCCATTGACGCCATCCGACGGGGCGAGGTGAGTTAAAGGGGGAAGCATTGTCAGTGAGGGGGGCAGGAAGGGAAGGGAGGGGAGGAGAGGGGAGAGGGAGATTAGGTTAGTGAAGCAGTGTCGATGAGAGGGTTGATTGCGAGAAACGAACGAGAGTGAGTTATCATGGTTCTCTTCCCCCCCCTTCTCCCCCCCCTCCTTCCCGTCCCCCCCTCTCCCCAGATGGTGGTGGTGGTGGATGACGAGGACAGGGAGAACGAGGGCGATCTGATCATGGCTTGTGCCCCCCCACCCTTCCCTGGTTCTCCCCCTCGCCTTCTCCCACCTCCCCCCTCGCCTCCCCCCTCGCCTCCCCCCTCGCCTCCCCCCTCACCTCCGCCCCCCAGATGGTGGTGGTGGTGGACGACGAGGACAGGGAGAACGAGGGCGATCTGATCATGGCGGGCGCGCTCACATCCCCCTCTCCCGCCTCCCTTTCCCCCACTCCCCACCCCCCCACAGATGGTGGTGGTGGTGGATGATGAGAATCGCGAGAACGAGGGCGATCTGATCATGGCGGGCGCGCTCACAACGGAGGCGGACATGGCGTTCATCGTGCGGCACTGCAGCGGGCTCGTGTGTGTGGGCGTGGCGGGGGCTGTTCTGGATCGCCTGGAGTTGCCTCTCATGGTTCGATCGCAGGAGAATGATGAGGCGCTGAGGACAGCTTTCACTGTCTCTGTGGTGAGTGCCTGTGCTGACAACGGAGGCACTGCAACGGGCTCGTGTGTGTGGGCGTGGCGGGGGCTGTGCTGGACCGTCTGGAGCTGCCTCTGATGGTTCTATCGCAGGAGAACGACGAGGCGCTGAGGACTGCCTTTACTGTGTCTGTGGTGAGTGGAAGTTGGTGGGGGAAGGGGAGGGGAGTGTGTGCTTAATCCGCGTGGCAGGGGCTGTGCTGGACCGTCTGGAGCTGCCGCTGATGGTTCGGAGCCAGGAGAACGACGAGGCGCTGAGGACAGCTTTCACTGTGGTGAGTGCGAGCGTGTGGGGATGTGAATCTGTGCGTGGGCGTGGCGGGGGCTGTGCTGGATCGCCTGGAGCTGCCTCTCATGGTTCGATCGCAGGAGAATGACGAGGCGCTGAGGACTGCGTTTACGGTGTCTGTGGTGAGTGCCTGTGTTGGGGGGGGGGGGGGAGGGGGGGGGGGAGGATATTGCGTGCTGAATGCGTGTGGGACCGTTTTATATTGCCTGGAGCTGCCGCTGATTATTCGATCACAGGAGAACGACGAGGCGCTGAGGATTGCGTTTACTGTCTCTGTGGTGAGTTTCTGTGTGAGTGGAGCTGCGTGTGTGTGTGATCGCAAGTGGGTGAATGTGCATGTGCGTGTGTGCGTGTGAGTGGCTGCGCTCAAAACCAGGGAAGGGAATGCGAATCAAGGTCAACTCCAAAGTCGCACCACACAATGAAGGCCTCGGTTTTGAGCGCAGCCACAACGGGCATATCGGCGTCAGACCGAGCCAAGACAGTGCGTTTCTTCTAACTCACTCCTGATTTGCGTCTCCTTCCATGCCCCTCCCTGTCGCCTCTCAGGACCTGAAGCTGGGAACCACAACAGGCATATCGGCGTCAGACCGAGCCAAGCCAGTCCGACTTTTGAATTGACCTTGCATCGATTTCCATGCCTGCCCGTCTCTGTCACCTCTCAGGACCTGAAGCTGGGAACCACAACAGGCATATCGGCGTCAGACCGAGCCAAGCCAGTCCGACTTTTGAATTGACCTTGCATCGATTTCCATGCCTGCCCGTCTCTGTCACCTCTCAGGACCTGAAGCTGGGAACCACAACAGGCATATCGGCGTCAGACCGAGCCAAGACAGTGAGGGCGATGGCAGACTACTCTAGTGAACCCTCCGACTTCCGCAAGCCTGGCCACATCTTCCCGCTGCGCTGCAGAGAAGGTACGGCGCTTCCTTAGGAGTACTGTGAAGGTATTATTCAACTTATTGTTAGTTCAGTCAACTCGAAGTCATCTCAGTACAGCGCTTGATTTGGGATGCAGAGCCTGAGTGAGGGGCACACAGGAGCACCCGTAGGCCCCTCTGTGCTGGCTGGCAGCACAGGCTGCCCCCTGTGGGCTGCGGTGTGAGAGAGTGGATGGGGTCACCTGATCGTATCATAATGTGTCACTATCATGCCTTATCGAATGAAATCTCTCCCCTGTGCTCCTCCTGCCTCTCATCCATGCCAGGTGGGGTGTTGAAGCGGGCAGGGCACACGGAGGCAGCAGTGGACCTCTCAGTGCTGGCAGGGCTGCCTCCTGTGGGGGTGCTCTGCAAGATAGTGAATGGGGTCTCTCATACCATACCATATTGTATCAAATATTTCCGTGTTTCTCCTGTGCTGCCCCCACCTCTCTCTCCATCCCAGGTGGTGTGTTGAAGCGAGCAGGGCACACAGAGGCAGCAGTGGATCTCTCAGTGCTGGCGGGGCTGCCACCCGTGCCTGTGGGCATGGTGGGTAAGAACGGGCCTCTCATACAGTATATCATATCTCATGTCCCCTGTGCTTTTCACTCCCTCCCAGGTGGTGTGTTGAAGCGAGCAGGGCACACAGAGGCCCTCTCAGTGCTTGCGGGGCTGCCCCGTGTGGGAGTGCTCTGCGAGATAGTGAATAAGGTCTTTCACACCATACCATATCCATATAATAACATGCGATACTGTGATTCCCCTGTGGTGCTCCTGCCTTTATCTCCATCCCCCAGGTGGTGTGTTGAAGCGAGCAGGGCACACAGAGGCAGCAGTGGATCTCTCAGTGCTGGCGGGGCTGCCCCCCGTGGGGGTGCTCTGTGAGATAGTGAACGACGATGGCACCATGGCTCGCATGCCGCAGCTCAAGGTGTTTGCCCGCCAGCACAACCTCTGCCTCATCTCCATCGAGGATTTGATCAGGTACGGTCATAGTGAGTTCAGTGCAGTTGAATCCGGTACAGTACAGTACTGATGGATGTGCTGCTCTGTGAGATAGTGAGCGATGGAGGCACCATGGCTCGCATGCTGCAGCTCAAGGTGTTTGCCCGCCAGCACAACCTCTGTCTTATCTCCATTGAAGACCTCATCAAGTAAGGAGTGGTGTGCGGTGCAGTGCGGTTGAAACTGGTATGGTACAATGCGGGTGAGAGTGCTGCTCTGCTCGCATGCCGCAGCTCAAAGTGTTTGCCCGCCAGCACAACCTCTGCCTCGTCTCCATTGAAGATCTGATTAGGTATGGCAAGGAGTGCAATGCGGTGCAGTGCGGTTGAATCTGGTACGAAGTACAGTGCAGTTGAGAGTGCTGCTGTGGATCGCTTGCCCGCCCGTTTTTATTGCCTTCCTGCCCATGTTCCCACAGAAGCCTTAGCCGTAGTGATATGCCCTAACCCCTTGCCCTTCACCATCTCCCTGCCAATCCTTCTTCTTGACCCGCTCCCCTGACCTGACCCACTCACCCACAGGTACCGGCGCAAGAGGGAGAAGCTGGTGGAGCGAACTGCAGTGGCGCGCCTGCCCACCCAGTGGGGCGTGTTCAACATCTTCAGCTACACGTGCAAGCTGGATGGCATAGAGCACGTTGCCATGGTCAAGGTGAGCTGCACTCCACCGCACTGAACCACACAAAACCGCACTGAACTGCATTGCAGCCCTCAGCACTGTGCTGTCTGCCCACCCAGTGGGGCGTGTGCTGTGCAACATATTCAGCTACACGTGCAAGCTGGATGGCATCGAGCACGTTGCCATGGTCAAGGTGAGCCGCAATCCACCACATTCAACTGCACGAAACCGCGCTGAACTGCATAGGATCGAACTGCATTGCAGCCCACAGCACTGCGCTGCCTGCCCACCCAGTGTTGTGTGTTCAGCATTCTCGGCAAGTGCAAGCCGGATGGCATAGAGCATGTCGCCATGGTCAAGGTGAGCCGCACTGAACCGCACTGAACTGCATTGGATTGCACTGCGTAGCAGCTCACAGCACTCCACACCCTTGAACCGCACTGCAAAATGCCTGCTGCCCACCCAGTGGGGCGTGTTCAACATCTTCTTCCATCACTCACTCCCCTCCTTTTATTCCGCAACCCATAACACCCCTTTTTCCCTCTCCCCTCCAATTCCTCCCCCCCTCCTTCCCCCCTCCTGCAATCTCCTGGCACGCCTGGTAATCCCTCTCACTCCTCTTCTCTTCCACCACAGGGCGAGATCGGAGACGGGGTGGATGTGTTGGTGCGGGTGCACTCGGTGCGCCTCACTGGCAACATCTTTGGGTCCAGGCGCTGTGACTGCGGGCCTCCACTGCCCTCTCATCCACCATTCACTCACTCCCCGTCTCGCTTTCCCACTCAACCCCCCTCTTCCCCCCCTTTCTCCCACTGCCTGGCAATCCCTCTCTCTGATCCTCATTCGTCCCCACACAGGGCGAGATCGGAGACGGGGTGGATGTGTTGGTGCGGGTGCACTCGGTGCGCCTCACTGGCGACATCTTTGGGTCCAGGCGCTGTGACTGCGGGCCTCCACTGCCCTCTCATCCACCATTCACTCACTCCCCGTCTCGCTTTCCCACTCAACCCCCCTCTTCCCCCCCTTTCTCCCACTGCCTGGCAATCCCTCTCTCTGGATCCTCATTCGTCCCCACACAGGGCGAGATCGGAGACGGGGTGGATGTGTTGGTGCGAGTGCACTCAGAGTGCCTCACGGGAGACATCTTTGGGTCCAGGCGGTGCGACTGCGGGCCACAACTGGAGCAGGCTATGAAGAGGATAGAGGCGGCGGGGCGGGGCGTGTGTGTGTACCTGCGCGGCCACGAAGGGAGGGGGATCGGGCTGGGACACAAACTGCAAGCATACAACCTGCAGGTGAGTGTGGGTTGGTTGCTGTGAGGGGTGACTGTGATGACCACGAGGAGGTTAGAGGTGGTCGGGCGGCGCATGTGTGCTTCAGTGTGCGATAACGGTCATGAGGCCAGCAGGGCAGGGGGATTGCGTCGAGGCGGTGCGACTGTGGGCCACAACTGGAGCAGGCTATGAAGAGGATAGAAGCGGCGGGGCGGGGCGTGTGTGTGTACCTGCGTGGCCACGAAGGGAGGGGGATCGGGCTGGGACACAAACTGCAAGCATACAACCTGCAGGTGAGTGTAACAGGAGGGAAGTGTGTGTGTAACTGAGAGGACATGAGGGCATGAGGGTAGGGGCATCTGGCTGGGACACAATTTGCATGTGTGTGACCTGCTGCTGGTATGTGTGGGTTGGTTTGCTGTGACGGGTGGTTGCGATGACTGTGAGGAGGATAGAGATGACAGGGGGGCGCGGCGTGTGTGTGTACCTGCGGGGGCACGAGGGGAGCGGCATTGGGGCACGAGGGGAGCGGCATTGGGGCACGAGGGGAGCGGCATTGGGACACAAGTGTGGATTTTTGTTAGGGGTGACAATCCATGCGGTTGTAAGGAGCGTAGAAGCGAGGCTGTTTGCTGCGCGATATTGCAGCACCTCGAATGTCAGATGTGTCAAAATCGTGTATCTAATCGCCCACAATTCCACAAGCATCCGAATCTCGTCAACCACCCCTCGCTCCCCAACCTCCCAATCTCCCCTAGCGCCCTCCTCGCTTTTTATTACCCTAAACCCTAAACCCTAAACCCTAAGTTTGGTCTCTGGCCTTCTTATTCCCTCTCGCTTCCCAATCTCCCTCCTCCTCCCTCTTTCTTCCCCTCCTCCTCCCCCCTTTCCCTGATACAGGACATGGGGCGGGATACAGTGGAGGCGAATGTCGACTTGGGATTTCCGGCTGATTCCAGGGAATACGGCATTGGCGCGCAGGTGAGGGCTTGTCGTACATGTGAGTGGTTGGGTCTCAGGTTGGTGCTTGCCTGTATTATCTCTCTTCAAATCAAGGCTCAAAAATACGGTCGTTTTTTTGAAATTGCTCTACGATTTCTCACAGGAGCCTATTATACGAAACCGTTTTTTACCGTAACTTTTCAAAAAAACGACCGTATTTTTTAACCTTGCTTCAAATCCCCATCCGTCTTCCTTTGCACCGTGTCTGTTACAAAATCGTGGTTCGGGCATGCCTGGGAGAATGTGCAGCATGCTGAGAATGCTGCGATGATTCTCACTCTTCCACTCACTCTGCCTTTTTGCAGGAGAATCGGGCGTATTTGGAAACGAAGAGGAAGAAGATGGGGCACATTTATGGGTCGGACATGCCTGAGAGCATGCTGAGCATGTTGCGATAATTCTCAGTCTTCCGCTCACTCCCTCCTGTATGCAGGAAAACCGGGCGTATCTGGAAACGAAGAGGAAGAAGATGGGGCACATATATGGGTCGGACATGCCTGGGAGCATTGCAGGGTTGCTTCGAGAGGAAGAGGGTGCAAGACGTGCACAGCAGAAACAAGAGGAGGAGGAAGGGCAGGAGAGGAAGCAGGGGCAGAGTGACGGGCAGGTGAAAGAGCAGGGCGAGGGGAAGGAGGAGCTGCTGTTGCGTCAGCTGAATGGGGCGAGTGTGGGAGGCGATGGGAGCCCGTTGGAAAGCACTGCTTTCAACACGCCGGAAGATTGGAGCTAGTTTGACTTTTGAGTCGAGTCCTTGGTCGCTTATCCAATAGGCCAACTGTGGGAGGCGATGGGGGTCCTGTGGGAAGCATTGCGTTCAACTCGCCGGAAGAATGGAGCTAGAAGCGCAAAGGATGGAATGCAGCAAGTGCCAAGAACGCTGCTGCTGGGTTACTTTTGGTACGGTACCTTGGCAGACCATGCGTAGTGTTTAACGATACAGTGCGGTGTAGAGTGATCTGAGCTCGCTGCAATTCAAGAGGATTGAGAATGTACCAGTAGGTAATGTGAGAGAATGTTGCATGGAGGAAAGCTCTGTTTCATTGCACTGCTTTCTACGGCACTTCACTGCACTGCAATGTGCTGCATTTTGTTGTGTTGTGGTGTGTTGTGCCTGCACTCTAGTGCATTGAATATCAACAGTTGCACCCCCCATCCCCTCCCCTCACCCCACCCACAACCCCTCTCCCTAATGCTTTTACCTTATCAGATTATAGAGCAGCTTCCATTCACCTTAGGTAACTCTTCACACATAAATCCTACTCAAATATGTGTGTATATTCCATACTAGCAGCACTGCTACCAGTAAATGCAGGCTAGTTATACACTTGGCAAAAATGTGGTATCTGTACCTTTGTCACATGTGAGACTGGTACAGAGTTGTAGGACTTTGGCTGGAAGAGGGGGAGGGGAGACGCTATAGCTCCCCTCATTTGCTTATGACATTGAAATGCATAGGATAGGACAATAGAAAAGCATAATGCAGGTACAGCAACCCCTGCCTGCTACCGGACTGAGGGAGCAGAATTCACCAGAGCAGCTCGTTATGAGGTGCTCGGATCTTATAATGCCCAAACAATGCTAGATATCATGCTGCTTCCGAATGTGATTCTTGGCGTTGCATGAACCGTCACGACATGTCATCTCGTCACAAAGTCTTCAAATCTTCCGAGGCGAAACACAGGACGACGTGGTCCGCTGATATGATACCACTGCATATACTGCAGTTACATGCCACCGATTGAAAGCAGGCCACCAATTTTGCCACCGCTCGTGCTTCGCTGCGTTGTTGCCAAGCTGTGCCACCCATGTTGTCACCGCTTCGAACCAGCTATCACTACGACCGTACGTCACCACTTTGAACCGCGCACAGCCTCAAGAATTACCAGAGAATGCTGTCCAGGCCAATCTCATTCGTTTCAAGGTATGGCGGAACGTCGAGGTCCCAAAACGGAGCACCGGCGTCACCACCAGCGCCACCGGCACCGCCACACACCTCATCCAGACCAAAAGAAAAGGTCTCCGCATCAAGCTCAGACACTGGAAACTCCTCCTCCTCTTCTTCTGCTGCTGCTCCCTGCAAGCCTGATTCCTGAAAATCCGCTGCCTCGGCTTTGACAGCAGCTGCTGCAGGGGTGGTGACAGCGTGGCATGAGACAAACTCGGGTGCAGAAGCAGAGTGTGTGAGAGGTTCTGGGAGGAGAAAGAGGAGGTCTGAGTCTGCAGATGGGGTGGAGAAGGAGGGTTCGGTTGAGGGGATTGAGGCTGGGGCTGGAGAGGTGGTCTTGACTTCGGGTGACGTGGGGGCAGATGAAGGGGCAGATGAAGGGGCAGACGAAAGCGCGGAGGAGAGATTGTTGCAGGAGGACGACTTAGTGCAGGATGAGATTTCTGAGGCCACTTCGCTGAGGATGCTGTGAATTTACAGGGTGTAGATTTATAACAGGAAAAGAAGCAGGGGATAGCAGTTAGGAGCGGTTTAAAAACAGAACGGAGGGAAATTAAGCAAAATGGGTAAAATAATTACGCGAGAATGGGGACAGGTTGGGTGATGAGAAAATAGCCAGGAGCGGGGATAGGCAGTGGCACATGGAGCGGATAGGCACATGCGGATAGGCACATGGAGCCTAAAAGGCAGTATACCTCTCGGTATCGCTGCAATAGCCCTGCATGTACTTGTGCGCCTTGCTGTTCTTCTTGGTGCGCACTACAGCGGGTATAACGCCACCAGCACTGCCTGCACCAGAAACCGCCGCCCTTCCGCCAGCTCCGCCCACGCCTGCGCCTGCGCCAGCCGCGGAAGCCCCTGCACCGAGAACGTCCCCCGTTCCGCCCTCCGCGGAGTCTTCCCCCGCAAAGTTCGTCTGCGCCTCCGCCCCACGGATAGCGCGCGCGGCTGCGTCGTACGCGCGGGCGGCGTCTTCCGCGGTGTCGTAGGTCCCCAGCCACAGGCGCACCCCGCGCGCGGGATCGCGGATCTCCGCCGCCCATTTCCCCCACGGCCGCTGGCGCACCCCCCGGTACCGCTGCTGCTTCTCCTTCGCGTCTGCTTTCTTCCCCTTCCCGACGCGCAGCCTCGCGTGCATAGCCGCCGCGCCGGCAGCGCTGCCGTCAGAACTGACGGCCGGGCTGATTGCCGGCAGGCCGGCCGCCGCCGCCGCCGCCGCCGCCGCCGCGAACTGCTGCGCGCCGCACTGCCCTTGCGCCGCGGCGTACTGCATGTACAGGAACTCCGCCGCGCCCGGCGGCATCTGCGGCGTCATCTGCGCCGTGGGATGCGGGGATGGCAGCGCCGCGAGGTACCCCATATGCGGGTTCCCCACCCACTGCATGGGCGGGTAATCGAACGTATAGGGGCCCATCGCACCCGCTGCGGCGGCGGTGGCGGCAGATGCGGCGGCGGATGCGGCGGGGGGAGGGCTAGTGACAGGGGAAGCCGTAGAGGAGCCTGGGAAGAGGCGACTCGCAGGAGTCTGCATGCCGGCCATGTGTCCGTAATAGGCGCCGTAACTCGCGCGCGCGAGATGGTGCGCGGGAGGAAAGCCCCCCGCCATGCCGACGGCAATCCCGTTGGGAGAGAATGACGTCATCCCGCGATACGCCGCAGCCGCGCCAGCAGCGGCGGCACCGGCAGGGCTTGAGGCACCTGCGGCGGCGGCAGTTGCGGCGGCGGCTGCGGCGGTAGAAGCAGCTTGAGACGGCGGCGACGGAGGCGACCTTCGCTTCTGACAGCTACCCGCCAGTTTGGCCGGCGGCGCGGCATATTGAAAATAGGGATTATAAGCGTACGCGCCAGAAGCGGGGACGAATTGGTGCATGTACTGCAGCGGCTGATTCGGCGGGTAGTTCGGCGTGAAAGGCGGAGGGACGAACGGAGTAGTAGCGAGGCCGCACGGGGCGACGGTGGTAGTGGCGCTCCCCGGTGTCGTGACGTTCGTCTCGTTGTCGCTCTCAGAATCGACGCCGTGCGTGATAAACACCTGCAAGTTTAAAGTGAGCGGAAATAAAAAGAGGCGTAAAAAACAAGGGGATGTTACAGTATAGCGTCGTCAGCCCAGGCTGGCACAAAAAGCAGCGATTTCCTATGCGTAGCAAGTACAGGGGAAGGTTGCAGGAGAAGGGGGAGGGGGGATGTGGGAAGGAGAGGGGGGAGAGGGGCGGTAGAGAGGGGGGGGGGGGAGGAGGAAGAGGGAGGGAAGAGGTGAGGGGGAGAGGGGGGCCGGGGAGGGGGAATACCTGCGGCGCGGCGGGCTTCACCCACCGCTTGGAGGCGGGGCTGCAGCTCTCGTCCTCCGACGAGTCGTCCGTCGCGTCGGGATCCGTGCGCACCACCCGGCCGCGCTTGGCGCACGCTTTCTGTTGTGGACGAGGAGGGCGGGGAGGAGGGTCAGAGGGGAAAAGAGAGGAGGGAGGGGTGGGGGAGAGGGTGGGGGAAGGAGGGGGTGTGGGGGGAGGGGTGGGGAGGGAGGGAACGACAGGAGGGAGAAAAGAGAGGGAACGAAGTGGAGGAGGAAAATGAGACGAGGTACTGGAGAAGAGAAAAACGCGGATACGATAGTGAGGCACGGGTCGTGGACATGTGATCTAAGACGTACTCGAGGCTAACCATAGCGCGTACGAGAAAATGCAACTGAAGAATGCAGCAATTCGGGACCTCACAGCTATCATGCGGAAGCTATACCGGCTACTATCTAGCCCTAATTGGTGCAACGAATCTTGACAAGAAGTTTACCTTGACCTTAGATCCAGCGTAGTATTCATCCTCGATAGAGGTGGACGCGCTATTGACCCCAGAAACAGTTCGGGTCACGCTCTTTGTGGTGAAAGCTCTGAAAAGATGCTTCTGAGCTCCAGGCATTCTAAATTCCGCGATTGGAGGTAACAGATCCGTTTCGAACCAATAAAAACTCAAAAAAATCGTTTTTAATCGTTTTAGAGTAGTCGTCAGAGTTATTAATCGCTAAGGACAGGTTGACGGAACGCGAAAGGTGAGGGGGAAGAGGGCAGGGAAGTGGGGATCACAGCTACGCACGAAGGCGAGCTGGAGAAAGAGGGATATGCAGTGCATCGATTTCATCCTTTATTGCTGCTGCTGAGGCAGGGAAAGCAAGCAAGCAGGCACGCATACCCTAGAGCCCAAGGAGGGCAGGCAGACACAAGAGCATCACACACAAGCTCTCAGCAGCGGTCTAATTGGAATTCGTTAGGTTTGAATACATTTAACTTGGGTGTGGTTCGGTTGGTTAGGTGCCCAAGTGTGTGTCTGTCGTAGAGCTGGTCCCCCCAAGTGCGCCGTACGTGTACTGTGTCGCCGCCAACAGCATGCGTCCGCGCAAACCAAACCCCGGGTGCAGTGAGTTCTTCCCGAGAGAGGACAGGCGTGGAGGGGAGGCAGGGGGGGGAGTTTCTGTTGGTGATTCTGCCGCGGCTGTTCCGCGGGCATTCTTCACTGTGAAGCGGAAGATTGAGTTGAGTTTGGGGGAGGGGGTGGGGGAACTCCGCCTGGCCCTGGACTGTCTGGGGATAATGGGAGATCGCTATTGGCTGCTAAATCACGCACTTCGGGGAAGTGAATAAGGTGAACATTCCGCCTTGAGTTCGCGATTGGTGCTGTAGCCAATCGCGAACTCCAGGCGGAAGCGTGTGTGCTGTACACACGATGCTCATTTGACTAACCCATGGTTGCCTTGTGAAGGGGGCTTTTAAGTGATTCTGGGAATTTCGCGAATTTCGTCAACGTCGTACCTAGCAAAAAAGGGCCTATAAAATAATTGTAACTCCCCGTTGACATTTTGACTTCAGTCTCTTCTGTTTGACTTCGGTTTCTGTGATTCGTATTGGTTCATAACCACTGCAACTTGCCCGAGGGGCTTGTAATGTGGGTGCAACTGGCTGGTAAAAAAAACACGGGTGCAGACTTTCCATCTTGGACAGGGCAAATTCGCGCGCAGGGGTTGAGCATCGTGTGTACAGTTCGCGCATCTCGGTCCTCCTGACCTGACGCGGAGTCGGTGGCTCTCTGCGACACTTGCCTCGATGATGGCAACGAGTCGAGTTGCGCTGCGGGGCAATCCCCATGGCACAGAGAACGACAAAAGCATGGGGCGCAGGAATGAACGAATTTAGTCTTTATTGCTGAAGAGATTCAGATACGGGGGGAGTATGAATGGCGGAATGGAGTGGCTTCCCGAGGTCCCCCCATTCCCAAGATAAAACGCGGTTCGGCTTGTTTGGGCTGATCCCCGCGCGCTTGGATGGGATGACGAAATGGACACGCTGGCGGGATTCGGTTTTGTGGCAGGAGAATCCCGCCAGACCCCAAGGAGGGATGTGATGTGCGCACGGAAATAGCACTTTCCTGTGTGATTTGGCTGGAAGGCGCGCACGATAACGTCAGCATGTCGCGGGTGTGTGGATCTGAACTGGCGTTGCTGGGTTGGCAACAGCAGATTACTGGCTGGTAGGACGAACCATATTTCACTTTCGCACGCGTTATCTACCACGTGGTACATATGCCACACATCCACCATCCCATGGTGTCTCCGTGTAATGGAGACCAGAAACGCCCAAACATTCTGGAGAAACTGATTCAGCATACCCCCATTTCCACGACATCCATACCCATCCTGACTAAAAAACGTAAAGCCAGCATCTCGTTCTGAAAGTGCGTTTTGCCGGGGAGCTTCTACCTTCATAACGTGTTCCGTCACAAACTTCTGGAAGCCCGGAACCACCTACGTTTAATGACCGAAACGAAAGGGTACTTTATGAGGTTAGTGGGTCTTCTAATGGAAGATGAGATCACCGTGGCCGGCGACAATATCATCCACCGTTTGTCCTTCACAAGACTTGCAAGCAGCCCTGGGTGCGCAGCAAAGGAATGAAACAATACCAGTTCATCTAGTGAGCAGGACTTTCACGGGGTATTTTTAAAATCCTGATTGCCCTCCTTCAAGGCAACTCAAACTCCCTGAGCACAAGATAACTGAATCCATACTTAGACGAGCCGGCTGTACCGTCAGAGCATCCCGCCACAAGTACTTATAACAACAGTTTTGCATGAGTCTGGTCTGGAAACATTCTCCACCCGTTGTAAAGCAGTGAAACATCCTCGTACAAGCCACTCGAGCATCAGCCTATGGATCAGTTGTGAACTGCAGGCACGTGGCACGAAGTGGTGCCATGTGAAGTCGTGCTTCTAGAGCTTTGCTTCTGTTGAGAACTAACAGGTGGCAACCGTTTACTAGCCCTAATTCGCAAATTCACTCCTTTGATGGACGCTAGCATTGCTGCCATTCCGAACTGTACCCACTGCCTGATGCCGCTGTAGATCGAAAAAGGCACAACCCCGCTTCTGGAGAAGTTTCCTAAGATCCTTCTGAACCTGAAAATGGTTTGAGTGAGATGTACTAAATACAGTTATATATTAAATTCATTATTTAATGTAACTTAGTGCAAGTCAATGGGCACTGCTACGACTATCAGCATATTCACTTTCATTTGCAGTAACTAGGTGGATGTGACTTCTTCACGTACAGGATGCGTTTCTGTATGTTACGAGTGCAATTGAGCGAGCGAGCGAGAATTGCACTATCGAAGCAAAAGGTACAATGAGCGAAGGCATGAGCGAAGAATATATAGCGAACTAGAGTGGTAACGGTAACGCGAGAAATTGGGGTGCGCTACAGGCCTAGCGCCGAGGTTGGGAAATGTCGAGGCGGAGGTCCGGAGCGCGGGTTACCAACCGAACCGTGAGGTTGGGTCGCATCTGTCAGAACATTATAGCTCATGCATATTGTGTAGGCTATAGTGGGGTAGCCCATAAGGGGTACAACCCAATTAGGGTTATTACTTGTACTCAATTCATTCATAGTTCATTCATTCCTTGTTTCTTCTCATGGTATCGAGCAGGTTCCCCCGTGGGAACTGTTCCTAGGGCCCACCGTTTTTTTTTTCCTGCCCGGAGCGCACTCAGCCCCTGCCCGAGTCGCGCTCCCCTCTCTCGCGCCGCCCTAGCGGCCCCTTAGCGCCGCCATCGCGGCCCCTTCGAGCCGCCCTCGCGGCTCTATCCGCCGCCCTTCGCGGCCCCTACTCCGCCGCCCTCGCGGCCCCGATCCGCCGCCCTTCGCGGCCCCGATCCGCCGCCCTCGCGGCCCCTTCTCCGCCGCGCTCGCGGCCCCTATCCGCCGCCCTCGCGGCCCCGCTCCGCCGCCCTCGCGGCCCCGATCCGCCGCCCTTCGCGGCCCCGATCCGCCGCCCTCGCGGCCCCGCTCCGCCGCCCTCGCGGCCCCGATCCGCCGCCCTTCGCGGCCCCGATCCGCCGCCCTCGCGGCCCCTACTCCGCCGCCCTCGCGGCCCCGATTCGCCGCCCTCGCGGCCTCGATCCGCCGCCCTAGCGGCCTCCGGCCCCTGCTCCTACGGCCCCGGCGCATGCTCCTACGGCCCCCGCGCCTACTCCTACGAGCAGCCCACCCGCCGAGCCGCCCAGCAACCGAGCAGCCCAGCCGCTGAGCCGCCGAGCCGCCCAGCAACCGAGCCGCCCAGCCGCCCAGCAGCCGAGCCGCCCAGCCGCCGAGCCGCCCAGCAGCCGAGCCGCCCAGCAGCCGAGCCGCCCTGCCGCCGATACGCCCAGCAGCCGAGCCGCCCAGCAGCCGAGCCGCCCCGCCGCCGAGCCGCCGAGCCGCCGAGCCGCCGAGCCGCCGAGCCGCCCAGCAGCCGAGCCGCCCAGCCGTCGAGTCGCCGAGCCGCCCTGCAGCCGAGCCGCCCGAACCGCCCTGTCCGGTAAGAGCAGCGCCTCTCTCACAGCACTGCCCTCACCCTACTGATGCACTGCTAGTCTACTGCTGTCATGGCTACCCCTAGTGTCCTCGCTTTTGACGCTGAGGGTCGGGCCATTGACTTTGACGTCTGGATAGATGACCTGCAGCTTTTCTTACAGTGCGACAGAGCAGACGGCCTCTCCCTCTTTGACCTCACTTCTGGTGCCTCTCCTGCCCCCGCTGCTGATGCTGACGCCACTGTTCGCTCACAGTGGGCCACGCGCGATGCTGCTGCACGTCTTGCTGTGCGTCGCCACCTACCTACCTCTGAGCGTGCGCACTTTAGCCAGTACAAGAGTGCTCAGACCTTGTACGACGCTGTAGTTGCACGCTACTCCTCCCCTGCCACTGCTGCACTGAGCCGCCTCATGCTACCGTACCTCTTCCCTGACCTTGCTGCCTTTCCCACAGTCGCTGACCTCATTACGCACCTCCGCACTAGTGACACTCGCTACCGCGCTGCGCTTCCTGCTGAGTTCTGCGCCAAGAACCCCCCCCCCATGTACATCACCCTCTACTACATAGTCACCCGTCTCCCTGACTCCCTTCGCGTAGTCAGGGACCACTTCCTCTCGGTTTGTCCCACCACTCTCACCGTTGACCTCCTCGAGAAGGCCCTCCTAGCAGCAGAAAAGAGCATAGTCGCTGTAGGAGCCTCTCGTGGTGACCCTCGCACCCCCATCTTTGAGGGGTGTTCCCCCTCCCCTCTTTTGCCCTCTGTTGCCTCTGCTGCTGCGGCCGACCTCGCTGGTTTGGAGTCGGTTGGGGCAGCGTCTACCCCTAGCGGGAGACGCCGCCCTGGCAGGGGCAAGGGGGGCAGGGGCGCTGGAGGAGCTAGCGGGGGCGGTG